AACCAGACATTGTTGTAGAGTTTCATTGGTTCTCCGGGTCGGTTCCATGTCTTCTTCGAGACGGAGAATGTGGACTATGTTGACACCAGATTTGGCATCAATCTCCATGACCCGGTCGATGGCTGCTCGACCTTGCTCGACATTACGAGCTATTCTACGGATAATGACGGGTAGAGCTTGGTCAGCAGAGCCACCATCGCTGACGTTGTAAAAGGTTCGGTCCCCAAAGTATGGTAAGGGTTGACCCTGTTCGTCGCTCCAGCGATTCAAGTTGTCTACCCACAAGGGAGTGGGACCTAGAAAAGCTGGTCGAGGGTTGTTGTTCGGGGCTTGACCTACTGGAGGTAGGTTGTTGACTTCGGGCTCAGAGTCTGATCCATCCGAGAAGCCTTCAGCTTGATGATCATCCAACGGGATTGGGTGTTCATCGTCAGACTCTGCTTCGAGCCATCCTGCGTTGCCTTCATTTGGAAAGTACGGGTCGCCGTGATGGAATCCAGCCATTTAAATCTACGCGATAAGAGAGGTATAAAGATATAGTATACATGTAGTTAGTAGTACAAAATACACCTATAGTATTTTAAGTTTAGTTTCTATTGATCTTCTTGTAGTATTGTTGGTAAGTTTTTAGACTTGTTAACACATCACAACCATTCTAGGGCATATGCTAATCACTCCTCGGACCAGCATAGTTGATCAGGCTATGCCATTCCCAGGGCTGACCATATATCCCCGAGCTTACCTGTGATATTTAACAAGCGTAATACTTTTGTTCTTGTCGTTGTCACACTGGTTTTAGTATGAATGTAGACTAGTATACTTAATTAAATATTTTAGTATTTTAAGTATAGACTCTTGGTCAGAGTGTTTTAATCCCAAATGGGTTTATAGTTTAGTATATCTTTTATGGGTTGATATACTTGATTCACTATAAACAATGCTCTGATACCAATCTGTCACACCCCAAAACCAAGAACGGCGGAAACGTTCTAGGGCGGAGGACGTCATGTAAGTATCACAACACAGTAAATGTAAATAAGCAAACAACATCATCCATTGCATTAAATATATAATTTTAATACAAGCGTGTTCTGTACAGTATAGACACCAAAAATAATGTATATCAAAATAATAAGATGAGTCTTGAATGCGCTCCATCTTCTCAAAAGCTGGCCTCGGTACCTGTCTACTGATGACCTGAGAATACAAGTTATTTTGAAAGAGTTTATCAGCATTAAGCTGGTGAGTTCATAAGTATTTTAGTGTCGGTATTTGTCATCCAAAAATGTTTGAACATGTATCAAGTATAAGTTTGTAAAATGTATGTAAAGGTTTGCAATTGTTTGTAAAAGTTTGAATCTCTCAGAAAAACCTATATTTTCTATTAAAGTAGCCTTCTACCAAGGCTTAACTGTTTTGTATGCTCGTTTGATGTAAAAGTGTGTAATTTCCCAAGTGTAACTATCATTTAACAAAATATAGTTTGTACATTATCGTTTAAGTGAGGTTATCACTAAAATATGTAATGGGTAAATCATTGTAGTACTGTAGTCTTGTATTATAAGAACTACTGTTGTACTAACTACCTTAAACCGGATTTATATTAAGGCATTATGTGATAAATTGCACCATACTATCGACTAGTAACAACGACATAATGAATGGTCGTAATAACGGAATGACGTTTGGCACCCGCAGACCTGCAGGTCCGGCTGTAGCTAGCAGCAAGGTGTAGGATTGTCAATCCAGTATAGATCTATACGCAAACTCACGCTCTCCCTTCAAGAGAATTTTGGCTACAACTCGAGCCATCACAGTTAAGTCATGCTCCGATTTAAATCACAATAAATAAAGTATTCATGTATATGTAATGTTTCTCGTTCTAGTGTAGTTGTATATGTATTGTTTCTAGTATAGTTGTATATGTATTTTTTCTAGCATCATTGTATATGTATTGTTTCTAGTATCATTTTATATGTATTGTTTCTAGCATCATTGTATATGTATTGTTTCTAGCATCATTGTATATGTATTGTTTCTAGCATCATTGTATATGTATTGTATTACCCCGATGGTAACTAGCTATCGATGTACTGGTAAATATGAATATGGAAGTACTTTTTATGTCTATACATGTATATATGATATATAACTAATATGGAAACGACCCTCGGATGGTCACCCGAAATCCCACCAGACCACATCTCAGTGCGCGAAAAGGAAATAGGGCGGATGGCCTTCCTAAGCCTTTAAACATTACTTATATATATATATATATATATATATATATATATATATATATATATATATATATATATATATATATATATATATACATATATGGGCATGCAATTTATAAGAAGTAAAACAAAGTTTAATAAAAGCATTTGATAAATAAAAATAGTTTGTAAAACATTTGAAGTGAAACAGTTTGATAAACAGTTGAACAGTGATAACATCATTGGTTTTCTAGTTGTTAATCACATGTGATTAATGCAATCACATGTGATTGATGTAATAACTATAAGTATTTGACTTGTATTCCCCCCCCCATAAAGTATTTAAAACATTTAAAAGTATTTCAAAGGTTGATTAAAGGGGTATGAACTCACTTGTGGTGAGTAGATTGAATTGATGTATCGGGTACCGTGCTAGGTGGCAAACGGAGACTTGTTCACACGTTCGAGCCTAGTTATCATATAATAAGCATATATATAACTAATTTAGCCGAATAATAACTTAACAACGTAAGTTAAGATACTTAGGAACATGTATACACTTTATATAAGTGTTATAGGTCCTAATGGTTGCATCTAAGTTGATACGGGACAAGGCAAAGGCGTTTAGAACACAAATGGCCTTGTATATGAGTTCACCACCCAACAAACCCCACCCTTTGGAGTTTACGGCCATGAACCCATGGGTTTACGGCCGTGAACTCCTCACATGGTGGTTTTGGGTGTTTTAAGGTGTTATCTTGAGCCTAGAATAAGCCTAGCCTAGTTGGAATAATCTTTGAAGTAGTTTAAGGCCTTGGAATGCTCCTTTGGGGAGTTTACGGCAAAAGGACCATATCCCCTAGAGTTTACGGCCGTAAACTCCTATGGGGTGTTGGTTTTAATTCTTTTGAGGCCCTTGCATGTGTAGGATAGCTTCCATGCTTTTATCTAAGGCTAAAGGGGACAAGAGGCACACTTTTGTGTCATTACTTGGAGTTTACGGCCCAAGATATGTTCCTTGGCCGTAAACTCCCTTTAATGAGTGATTTTGATGTCATTTGTCCTCATTCGAGTCCCAAGTAGTCAAGGTAAATTGTCTTAAGGCTTTTAGGGTGTTTAAGGCGTACTTTGCCCTTGAAAAAGGGGTTTACGACCAAAGATCCTTCCTTGGCCATAAACTCCTAAAACCCTAAGATCTTGAAGTGTTTTAGTGTCCAAATTAAGCACAAGTATTAGTGGTTAAAGTCCTTAAGCTTTAGGGGGTGATTTAGGGCATTTATGACCCTTATGAAGGGGTTTACGGCCCAAGAGAGTTCCTTGGCCGTAAACTCCTATAAATTGTGTTCCTTGATTGATTTTTAGTCCCAAATGTTTATACACTAACCCCTAAACAAGTTGTGTAACAAGGAATCGGGACTAGGAAGCCTTTAGGCTCCGTTTTGGAGTTTACTCCCCAAGAACGTTCTTGGGCGGTAAACTCTCGGATCTTGTATTTTGGACATGTAATTGATGTTATAAAGCATATAACAAGTATTAAAACACATTTAGGAAAGTAGACTCACAATCCGGGATGAAAACCCGAAGATCCGTCAGAGAGAATTGGCTTTTCTCTAGTTGGAATTGTGAATAATGAATTAACTAAATTCAGAAATCTATTTATAGTCCGGAAATATTTTGACAGAAAATATTTTTATTCCGGAAATCGGACTATAACATTATGAAACTGACAATGTTCAAGTTTCATAATTACAGGAGCATCCACTCTCCTGATATGTCCAGAAATATAAACCCTAATGTACACAAACTTGTTCGGACAAGTATGAAAATCACTGAAACTGGACTAGCTTCTATTGAATAGATAATGTTCGTACAAATGGAAATTTCGGGTTGTCACAAAGACTAAAGAGAACTCTAACAAAAAGTTCAAAGTTTGCCCTAATTCTTTGGTATTTCGATCTTGATTTCCCACTGTACTTTTGATTTTCCTTGCAACAAATAAAGATTATGAGCTTCTTACAATCTTTATATTTGATTTCAAATAAACCAGGTAAGAAGTGTAAGTACTGGGAATGGATTGATGAACCTGTGACTCGGAATCCGGATTTAGAACAAGAACTTGAAGCAGTTAAAGAGGATGTTTCATGTTTGAAGAAAGAAGTTCAATAGGTGAAAAATAAAGCACATAGTTATAGGGTTGAAATCGGTTGTAATATTATCTGAAAACGTTTGAATAGAATTTTGTATGATGTATTAAATTGTGGTGTTTTGAATGTAGGGATTGTATGGTTTATATGGAATGTATTGAATGGTTTATATTTATTGTATTGAATGGGGTTGCATATGGTAGACATTTCATGCTAATTTACATTGAATTTGGCTGCAATTTCAACAGCCAAAAGACAAGGACAATGATAATTGAATTTGTCTTCAATTTCAACACCAAAAGACAAAGGACATTGATAGAAACAAATAAGGAATATGATTCCTAGTCGAAAATTGACATATGATTCCCATTAAAACCCTTTTAATAAACTAATGCATTAATACCAATAAATATTGAAAAAGATAAAACACAATTGACATAGGATACCTTATCCGATTCGATTACTTAAAGGCCATAAAAAGTTGCTAGGTTAATAGCAATGGCAGTATTGTCAATTACATCAAAAGTTGGCCCAATTAACAAAATAAAGTCACCATACATAGTTTACTATTACATACTTCCAAAGCAAAAGAAAACAAGTAACCCTAATCAGTCTAAAGTAACTGGGTTGTCCTTAGTCACTCCTTTTCCATCCTTTTGAAAAACATGCTTCCTGATTTGTATCTTGTTGATTCTCTCTGAAGCTTCCTTGCTCTAAAACCAAGACTCTTAGGCACTCTAACACCAAGATTCATAGGCACTAGGTTAACAGGTACTAGATTCACAGGATCTGGGTTGATAGGTACTTCATTCATAGGAACTTCATTCACATGCTCTTGATTCACAGGATCTTGATTGACATGTGTTGGAGCACATGGAGCTGGAGTGCTTGGACCTACTTGTGAAGGACAGTTTCTTGCATTACTCTTCTTTCTTGCTTTACTTGGACCTGCTTCAGAAGGACCCCTTAGTGGACATGTAGCTTTGTTGTGTCCAGTTTAATTACAAATTATACATCTATGTTGAACACCTGCCATTCTTAGAGTATGCCTTGTATTTCCACCGAGTTCATTTTCTGCTTGGTCTCTTTTTCTTTTCATACATGGCCTACCAGGTAACCTCCTCCTAATAGGAGGTAGTATCAGGTGAACATCAGGCATGCGGGGCCACAAGGTACTATCATTCAGAGGATGTATGTTGTACTCATAGGCCCTAAGAAATGCAGATTTAGTAAACCACTCTGCAACATATTCCTCTGGATCAAGATTCAAAGAAGATATGGCACATATGGCATGTACATAAGGAATTGCTATCAATTACCAACCTCTGCATCTACATTTTCTCTTATCCAAGTCAACACCATACCTTTAATTACATTGCACAACTTCAAATTGTTTTTATCCACTAACATATGATGCCCAGAATCTGTCAATAGAAAAAGTAGAAAAAAGTTAGTTAGCACATGCATGTACAAAAAGTAAGTAAAAGTTTTTGTAACAACTAACCTTCTCAACTTCTTTAGTTCACCAAGTTTCCTTCTGATAGTTGGACAGATTGCCAAATCCTAGCCTGTGACAACCGTCAAATTCCACTCAAGTCAAAGCCAACTAAAGTCAACAAGTCAAACTGGTCAACTCATCTAACCCTTGTATGCTAGGGTTTTCATTATGTTCCTTATTAAAGATCTCACACTCTTAATGAAAAGTATCACTTAGAATTTTCATGTGTACGGAAACTCTAAACTGTAATCAGGACAGGTGATGAAACTAATCGATAAAACATTATTCCTTAACCCCTCGAGGGCATATGATAGTCATAACAAGACTTAACAGGGTTTACGGACCTTGTATTGCGAAGCCGGTCACTCACCAAAGTCACACACGAAAACCTCTCTCAATCGTTTTCACTCTATCTCTCTCTATTTAAAATCTCTCCCAAATCTCTCTAAGTATGTGAAATCTCTCCCAAATCTCTCTCTGTATGAGAAATCTCTCCAAGAATGGTAAATCTCTCCCAAATCTCTCTCTGTATAAGAAATCTCTCCAAGTATGTCAAATCTCTCCCAAATCTCTCTCTAAATCTCTCTCAACTTTTTACAATCACTCGGGGCATCCCGACTCTTAACTTAGTCGAAAACCGCTCGAAAATGGAAGTGTACGCGAAAAACACGAAACCTCTTAGGAACCGAAACCCTCTTAGGAACCGAAACCCTCTCAAGAACCGAAACCTCTTTGGATCTGAGACCCTCTCAACCGAAATGGACCAAGTGCTAGTCTATTTTGGTCCTATGACAATTCCGAACCGAGACTCTCCCTTCTTACCTTCGGGCTGAGGACCTGACTCTCGGTCCTTTGTGATGAGCATGTATGCGAGATCTCTCGGTTCCCATACATCCGAGCCCCACCTTCGGTCCGAGAGGCGACCCAAATAGCTGAACTCTCCCTCTCGGTTTCTTCTCTCGCTCTCAGTTCCAAGCTCCTAAGGAGCTGAACCTCCGCACCCTCGGCCTAAATTTCAGAATTTGGCAATTTTTGCCCGATTTTCAATATTTTTAGCGTTTTGAGCCCGTTTTTCGGGATTTTAATGCGGGATTTTCACCCAAACTCGTATTTTAACATAATAAACCCCAAAAATTCATATTTTAATTATATTTTGGGGAAAATCTTTGCCTAAGAATAAAATCTAGTAGGTAAGATTTATGGGTGGAGTGTTGACTTTGCTTTAGTGTATAACACAAGCAACCTCCCCATACCTTCATAGTACAACCCCTAGTCACTATTCACCCATACCTAGTCAATCATTGTCCTTTTCCCACTCTTTTTCAGCCATTATATTGAACAAAAAGCTGGAAAACCCTCATCTCTCCTCACATTACTCCATTTTTCCACCAAGTGACAACTTCATTTTCTCTTACTCCTTCTCTCTAAGATTTCGAGATTCAAGGGATATTTCCAAGCTTTTCTTCTACGTTTGGTAAGTATCTTCCTCTTACACTTAGATATTCTACTATCTTTCATCCAAATCATAGATTGCTTACACAAACATCGTCATATTTTTGTTAGATCTTCAAATCTTCAAGCACCTCTCAAGTGTTCTTGAGTTGAACACTTCTTTTCTCCATCATACATCTACTGAAATCACTCAAGGTGAGTTCATACCCCTGTATTTTCATGTTTGCTTAATTTGTAAGGGGGGAATACAAGTTAAAACACCAAGAACACAACTAAACTCATTTAACAGCCTTCATCAGAAAAGTTCAACTCCATTCACGGACTGTTTTGGGAAACTTAAACATTTTATTTTTAAAAACCGTTTTAGGTGCACGTAGTTCCAGTTCTTAGCTTTAAAATGACTACTTTCACACCTCCATACGATTTTTCTACAATTTATGGTGATTTTTACAAAACTGCCTATCATCTCATGAGCAAATCTGGACCAGTCGATGATTATGGACTTTTTCCCACAAGTTGGAGGTCATTAAAAATTATAATAAAATTTATGAACAAACTAGACTCATTTCCCAAACTCTCGTAGTTTAAAGATTTTGATTTTGGATCTTTGATGATTTTTCTATAAATTTTCTAAAAGCAGTGAAAGAAAATGTTAACAACAGAGAAATGCTATCCATTTCATTTCACCTTGTAACATGTTGAGCAAGGTGTATATCATTATGTGAATATATGTTTTTGCAAATAAATGACATTATGTCTTAGTATATAGTTACACATCAGAAAACAAATGCATTTTTACCTACAAAAGTATGGTAATTAATTAGTTGTTATATTGCATGTTGCTTCACTTTAGTAAAAGGTATATATACATATCGGTAACAAAAGGGTTTTTACCTTCACAAATACAGTAGTTCACCATAATAAACAAAGTTATAACTATTACATTTAAACGTTTTGATAAACTATAATATGTGTGGTTTATGTTTCCATTAACACAACAAACACATTTCAGAAGGTTTTATTCCCATAGAAAAAGGTTTTTACACTCACGCACACTACACATAAACTTGTTAACTTAAATTGAGAGTTATTCTTCTCAGTACTCCTAGAGTACGGGTTAAAATTCCTGGTAGTTATAACCAGAGTCTCTTGTAATGAGAACGTGATAGTTATATATAGATCTATATTGGGTTTGACACCCCATACCTTGCTGCTAGCTACAATAGGACCTGCAGGTCTACGGGTGACAAATGTCATAACAGTTTTCGACGCCTGAGAAACATCATGGCAGGTTCATTCAGTTATAGTATGGTTATAGCAGCTCACATAGGGAGTTAACAACACATAAAGTTTACGGGGATTTTCATAAATTAAAAGGGGTTTTATGTCGATTTAAAATCACTTTTTATATCAATGATCACAGATATTATTGTATACTTTCGGTCTTGGTATTTAAGACTACACACCATTCATTACGAGATTTTTCTCAAATTAGAAAGGGTTTTACGCCAATTTAAAACAACTTTTATATCATTATGTATGGAAAATACTTGTTTATTCTTGGTCTTGGGATTTAGGACCACATAACTTTTATAAGGAAAATATTGGATTTTTCTTGGTAACACACAACACATTACAAAGAATGGTTTCCAAACTCTTTATCTAAAAAGCTTATGAACTCACCAACTTAATTGTTGACACTTTTTCAACGAAATCAAGTTACCACAAGTTTTTGAAGATGGAACGCTATGGCATTGAACAACTATTTTTATATCATGTCGTGATCAATCATTGAATTATGTAATACTTGAAACCATGTAATTCTTTCCTGATTATATTTATGATTGGTTGAATTTACTTTGAGCACTATTATACTCGTTGTTGTGATACTATACATGAAGTCCTCCACCCCGGGACGTTTCCTCCATCCTTGGTTTGGGGGTGTGACATAGCCCAATCCTTTCCCTTTCTGCATGTACAATCTCTCCATCACAAATACCCTTATGTCCTCCAACATAGTGATCAATGGCTTCTTTCTAGCTTCTTCAGTAGTAGCATTGAAGCTCTCAGACACAACATTTTCCATTGCATAACATCCCATTCCAACCTTCAAAAAAATCCCTTGACCAACAATCAGGGTCCCTTTTAATGAGATAATTATATGCCCCTACATCAAAGCTCTTGATTTCTTCCATTGCAAGTTCAAAATTTTGAATTGTAGTTTCCTTTACAGCCCTCCAAAAAGGTTTAATGTAACACTCACCCTTAAACTTTTTATGGAAGATAGCAAGAATGTGCCTAGCACACAACCTGTGCTCAACTTCTGGACATCTTTCTTTCACATCCTCTATTATACCCTGTATTGATTTGGAATTTTAGTTTGTGAAAAAGGTAATTTTGTAAAAGATAATTTGTGTATATATGTACCTAGTGTCCATCTGACATCAATGTGATTCCATTAACATTTCCCCCTCCATCTATGTCTTCCACTAGATTGTCCAAGAACCACTTCCATGTACTCTTGTTCCCAACATTTACTACTGCCCAAGCTATTGGGTATATGTTACTATTTCCATCCTTGCCTACTGCTGAGAGCAACTCCCCTTTATAGATTCCCTTCAGAAAACATCCATCTATCTTGATTATCTTCCTACACCTATCTAACTAGCCATCAACAACTCCTTTAAAGCTAACATAAAACCTTTCAAACACCACAGTAGAATTATTTTGGGGTTACACATACACTTCAACATGAGATCCTAGGTTGGCCCTTTTAATTTCAGCTCTATAATCCCACAACTTGGAATAATGATCCTTCAAATCACCCTCAATTTCATACAATGCCAATCTTTTTGCATTCCTACATTGTCTAACACTAACATTTATGTTGAATAACTTGGATACCATAGCTTTCATCTTCCTCAGACTCATTTTAGGGGACTCCAAAATATCAATGACAAATTGTTTCCCAATCTACTTGTAGGTAACAATTGACCCAAGTTTGAATGCCCTTGAACAAGTATGGTCTTCTCTAAGGGACTTTATTTGAAATGTTTGCTCATCTTTCATCCAAGAATCCCATAGTCTAAAAGGGCATTGTGGTCTTTTTCCTTTACAACATTTTACAAACAACCTATCCTTGTCATTCTTCTCATAATACAGGTCATATCCATGTGCAATTGCATAGTTATTGAGAGATGACTTAAGTTCAGCAACAAAAGAGAATCTCATACCTAGTTCAGGCTTCATCTTCCTCCATTTTATAGTAGCATCATGCCTACGATAGACAGCCGGAAGTTCATTACCTTTTTCATCTTCATCTTCAACAACTACTGGACATAACTTGTTCAAAAAATTATCATTATAGGTTCTTTTGAAGATTCTTTTGCTAGATGTAACAGATTCATCTTCTTCATGTTCATAATTCTCATCATCTGCCAAAACAGAGTCGACATCTTCTTTTGAATACACAAGTTCTTCATCGTCCGGTTCTTCTTTCGGAATCCACTCAAATATAGGTTCATTATCATGGTTAATATACACATCCACATGTCTGTTAGCATTTGCAACCTCAAGAAACTCGGAGTAGTCACATTCATTTTGTAGTGTTTGGAGCCCCTCACTCAATCTCACTTCAGGTATACAGTAATACACGTGCTTGTACAGAAAATCGATAAGCTTCTCAACATATTTGATGAAATCGGAGAAAACAAACTTGTTTGCATCTTCATTTAGTCGTAGTACTTTTGGAGCAAAATCCACTAACGGAATAGACACAAAAGTACCATTATAGTGTACATCGACTTTTGGAAAACCTTGATTTTCCTCCATTGAATCAAAATGGTGTTCGGAGAGATTGAGAGAAGAGAAGGGTGAGTAATGAGGCACTGATCAAGAACGGATTAAATACAATAGAACCCTCAATCTTCGTTCGTAAATGAGGTTTCTTGATAAATGAGGGTGGAAGAGGGTAACTGCCACGTAGACCAGCGAAACACAAAATGACCGGCTTAATCGAAAGCAACCGGTAATAATGACTTAATTTATACACAATAACAACTTCAAGGGTAAAATGTAGACAAAAAAAAGTCAATACCCTTTTAAATCATTATCCCTAAATAAAATCTTCTTATAAATGTACCATTGATTTCAAAAAAACCATAAAAATTGTCAAAATCCGTCAATTTAACGTGGTAGTTTTCCATGGTTGTCGCAGAATGCCTTCTGCTGCTTATTGTCACAAGTAGGGTTTTTTACTTGCAATTTCGTCCGACTCCCGTTGGTATTTTCGATGAATTTTTTGGTTAGAGTGTTGTTTGCCTAATTTTCCCTATTTGTTGTAATGTGAGATAGAATGTTAACATATGTATGAATACACCTATTACTTGATTATATATATTTAATTAATCGCGTTGTCGATCAATCCAACAAATGCGCACGCCCATCATTCTTATTCTCGTCCATAATTTCTCCGTGTTTCAAACAAAGGTTTTATTTAAACATTGAGAAACAGTTTATCATCAAGAGCAGAGAATAAAACAAGTAACGAAGTGGAATACACAACAGAAGGACAGAGGAGTAAAGTCGACCACACCTCAAGAATATAGGTTCTATATACAAAACTAGAACGCATGTATGGAACATTAAGCTAAAGAGTTGCAATGGTCGTTAGTTGAAGTTCCGAGTAGTATATGCTGTCAATTTCGTACCAACTGGGTGAACTTTCTTACTCTCACCACCTTTAACGCCATCTTTCTTTTTCTTTTCATCCTCTACGCCTTTCCCCTCCATCCGCTCCTTTCTCTCTTTAAGTTGTGCTTCTTATGAGTTTAGAAGAGCGTAATTGAAACCAATAGATGACATTGTTGCTCAGCTAAGTATGCGATGATCAAATGATGTAGCCTTGTGAAGATGAGATGAAGAGATCAGTATCTTTGCCTTAATATTTATAGCCAAAAAATGGTGGTGCGGTTAGGATTTTAATAATAAGTGATGGTGCTGATTATTAAATTATTAGAGAAACTTTTAAGTTTGGACGAGCCATTATTTCCAAATATGCTAATTATGCACTATTGACCATTTCTTTAAGTGTTCAAGTATAAAATTTGATTGCTAATATGTTTGTAACCACTTACTTTGCTAGTTTCTCCATTTAAATGTTTTTTTTTGTGTGTGTTTTGTTCTCACTTTTTATGTGCTCGTTGCGTTCGTCGTTCAGTGGTTTGTTAGCTCTTTATTTTTTCTTGCGAAAGAATTTGAAGAACTTTGGGCTGAATATACGCATAAGAATTGCAATCTTTCATAATCGTTAATGCCGCCTTTTCGTAAGGATTGATGGTCCTCAAAATATTATGAACCGTTCATGGTCTGATTACAAACACGGCTTTTACTAGATCAAACTTCAACATGGCTTTTACTAGATCAAACTTCAACGAACAAATCTAAAGACTGAAATACCCCAAAGACAATCACAAGATTTTGACATCGATTAACACCAACAAAGCACGTTGATGTTGTTGCGAAAGGACGACATCCTATAAGGGTCGTTCATGGTCTCATTACAACAACATTATGGAGGATATATGACATAAATATGGTTTGGTGATTAAATAAAGATTGCCTAATTTATTAGAAGTCAATATTTATTGAGAAATCACATATCATCCTATATTTGATTCCTACTATCCTCCACCTAAATGGTGACAAATGGATTAAAATATTATGAATTTCACTAAATGTGATACGTGTCAACATTTGATATTGTAGAAAGATAAGTAGGAATAAAATGTGGGAGGACACTCTGTCTTCTCAATTAGTCGCTGCCCACCAGATATAAAGCGTAGCCAGTCAACCATGTGTTAACTCCCAACGACAACAATAATAGCTCCAACATCGATCAATCAGATTTGCACCGCTGCCGAGCTACACCGATCTCTCTATAGTTGAAACACTCTGACGATGAGCCTCCTATTATTGGCCCTTAGTTTTCTATTGTCATCCTTAACTACAGATCGAGAGAGTCGAATGCAGTTGAAAGACTTTCATCCAAGATGTTAACATCATAAGTGGCTAGTATTTTTTGTTCAATTATTAGGTTACACACACAAGAAAAAAAAAAAGAGAAGAGTAAGCAATTGGGCTCATAAGTTACAAATGGGCTAATAATTCATCTTGGGTATCTACAAAGGGATGCTACAGTTAGGGTTTATCTTAGGTTTTTTTTGTGGACTGTCTCAACAACACAAAGTGGGCCATTCTTACAAGAAAAAATCATCCTCGGTCAACGTCCGTGTGAATTAATTCCGCTCAACAATAATAATAAATAAAGAGGAAAAAATAATTATTATTAGGGCTGCCATCTCTCACCTTAGGCCTATTATTTGGAAATGGGCTCCAACAATGTTTTATTTTGCACTCCTAAGACAAGTAGGTGTTAGTGAGTTTATCACCAAATATATTTTAGTATAATGGACTTAACAAGTGTTTCAAGAATAATGTTTTAGTTATAATACAAGTTAGGAGGTGTGGGAGTGCACACTTGTATTTACTAAAACATTATTAGTACCAAACACTAATCTACTATGTGAAGTCGGGGGTCCCTTCTTCATCTTCTTTTTTATACAAGTTAGGAGGTGTGGGAGTGCACACAGATGTAAATTTAAGGACTAATCTTTCTTTTTTGAAAGATGCAAACTGTTTTCAGTTATCCGTTGATTGGATAAATCAAAGAAAACGGCACCAATTGAAACACAAAAAACTGGGAAACATTTCCTTCTTCATCTTCTTCTAAAATTTATTCTGATTTTGTGCCTAAAATAAGAATTGTTGCATCAAGAATTATCCTAAGTTTGGATTTCGTGATACCCAAGGCATATAGGGTTGAAATATCAAACAAGGAAAGTGATTATACGATTCCTGTTTTGTTATCCAGATTTCCATAACCCTATTTCGATTTTCCCCAACAGTAGGCTCTACAAATTGATGTATCTTGGGGTTTATTCCATATTGGCCATTTCATGCTACTGGGCTCCAACACTCACTTTGGGCTTCCCTTAGGCATTTCTATGGATCACATCATATATGGGTTAAATTTGCAAGACAAAAATTAGATTTTCAGCACCCGGATGTTGCAATTCTACTCAATAAGATCTGTTTTTAGAATAGGCGTTGCGTCCCGAAACACTCAACGCTTCACAAAAAGAAAGAGAGGGAGAACAGTAGTACACTACTGCTACTTTGTGAAGTTCTCCGAGAAACAATCGCAATAGAAAATCTTAATCAACTTCTGATTTCAAGAAAAAAAACATACTAACTATTGAATTTGATTATATTGTGTTTTTTCAGATAACCGCTCTAGTGCCACAACACCTAGAGCTTGCTGATGGCAAACTTCCAGAGTAAAACTCCATCTGTAAAGCATTTACAAGGACTCGTGAAGTGTGTACTACTGACTAGTTAATCAAAGTTTATCTCAGTAGGCATAAAAGTTAACCCCCTACCCGGTGATAACTATAGGCCGCGACCCCTAACTCCCGGGGATAGGCATTGGTTCCGTCGAGAGAGTTTTAGAAACTTCTCAGTTCCCCACCCGGTGTTGGATGCGACTCTCATTCCCTTCGTCAGGGCGTGCACAAGTACCTAATACTAGAAAAGTACCAAAAAATGCCACGCTTCAATGGGATACGAATCTCCAATACAACCATGCTTACTACAAAGCTACCAAACCATTATCTAGGTGATCACCATCAAGCTGTGGACAAGTAGTATAACATATTACAAATGAAAAAGTCTTAGATGCACACTCACACCCTATTATGGTGAATTAGTAATATGGAGAACCAAACCATATACAGGCACAAGGGGCTCAATATCATATATCCATCATTCTCGTCCTTCACCTCCTTTGAGAAAATAGGGGGTGATAAGGGTTAGTTCAACCCTATGTAGAAGTGTCATTACTATTTCGATTAAAGAGCTAAACTAGATAACAAGTTGACATCGTATATGGTTGTGCATCCACAGGACAAAATTAGTGGTATGTATGAAGGAGAAGCTCCATACCCAACACCAAACATTAACCATGTTGCCCGGCTCACAACACCTATGCTAGCCAGCTCTTGCCAGCACCCGTGTTACCTAGCTCTTTCCAACAACCCTGCTGCCTAATTTTTAGCAACTATGCCCCATGCTCTAAGCAACCTTGCTGCTCATCTCTATACATCCATCATTCTTTTTGTTCACCTCCTTTCAGAAAGGGGGATGAGAAGGATCGGATTGAAGGAGGAACCCCATGATTCAATTCAAGAAAGTGGCCTCACTGCCTAACTCTTAGCAATCGTGTTGACCATCTCTCGATAGGATCCCCACTACATACCTCTTGACAATAGCTCCATTATCTTGCTCTCAGTAGCCTTAACTCCCGACAAATAGTATCACTATGATATCGAATGTATCTTGGTGTATAGCCCTATCATTGCTACATAAATCATCTTACTAAAAAAACATTTTCATTATGTACAAACCAAGATAGTGGCATAATGATTGTCACTAAATCTAATGATGTAGCAAACCGTCAAGTGCCGTTACATTCTAGTTGAACTGATCACTCGGGTCGGGCACATAGATTAAATGCTGCTTAGCCTTATTTTGTTAAAGATTCAGAAGGTTTAGTACCTTTTCCCTGTGTCGCTTGGCTTTTTAGCCTGAGTCCAATTTAGCAGCAAGCTCCACCTGCAAGGTTTAGTACCTTTGTAGCGAGTTGCTTGGCTTCTCATCCCGACTCCATTATAGTGGCAAGCTTCGCCTAAAAGGTTTAATACATTCACCCTAGAGTCGATTGGCTTCTCAGCCCGACTCCATTATAGCGGCATGCTACGCCTGAATGGTTCTTAGCCTAACTCCATTATAGCAGCAAGCTCTGCCTGCATGGTTCAGTACTTTTTCCTTGAGTCGCTTAACTTCTCAATCCGACTATCTTATAGAGGCATACCCTGCCAATAAGGCTCAAAGGCTTGCAAACTTTTCTTGTATGATTCCATATGATGCTCTCCCGCATGATGTATCTGCGATAGCTGGCTACTAAGCCCGATCTACTCCATGCGATGTTGTCCTACATGATGTATTTATGATCGCTAGCTCCTAATCCCGATCTATTCCATGCGATTATCTCACGCGTGATGTAGCTACTATTGTTGGATGCTAAGCCCGATCTATTCCACACGATGCTCCGTTATTATGTATCCACGTTCACTGGCTGCTAAGCCTGATCTGTTCCACATGATGCTCTCCTACCAGCCCCACTTGGTGCTCCTTTTCCTTACTTGCATGTCACTCTCTTGCCAGACTTGCCTAGCGCTCCTTTTCCATCCCTTCCTGGAACTTTCATGCTAGCCCTACCATCCCCACATGATGCTACCTTGAAGGCCTTTCCTGGTGAACGCCCTCCAACCATGCTTGGTGAACGCCCACCAACCTTGCGTGGTGCGCGCACTTTCCTGCTAGCCCCTAGGTGGCCTTTCCCAGTCCTTCTGATTTAGGCTTAAATTAGGATGGGCCAAGGCCATACCCAATTCTCCCTGACCTAATTTTCCCATGTAAAGTGAACAGTACCTCCTCCATGGAGAGGGACCTTTTTCCTGGTGGATTAGCTACCACTTTATACCTTCCCCTTGGCGCAGCCACCGCTCCCCACCTTTAACCACCATGCACATACACTTCCCCCAACACCAAGATGGTTCTATCCAGCTTATACGAACCATCTCATCTTTTCCAACCGATCTAACTTGATCGTT